GTCTTAAGAATTTTGTAGTTACATTCCTGAATAAGATGCTTGCATAATTCTATCTTTAATCTTACCTTTAGTTTAGTTATTAAGTTTGTGAACACTTGGGAAGGTGACTGCAGGAGAATGCCTCTTCCTTTCTCTGGAGTTGTGCAAAGTATACAATGATCTGTGGCCTCAAAACAAACACCTCCTGTTCATCCCCAGCTCCCAGGACAGAGAGAGCCTGCAGGCCGGGTATTTCCCTGAGTCAGCTTCCTACTTTACATTTTCAGCACCAGTCCATTATGCCTGCTTTGAAATTTATTAGATAAAATTATTCACAGGGTATTCATTTTTTTAAAAAAAAAAAAACAAACCCACAGAATCTACACTTGTGCCTATGTGCCTATTTTCTCATTTTCAAGACTTTCAAGGCTCTGAGACATTCTCCTTCTTTGAGATTTGAAAGTTTGCTCGAGAGTGCTCACTTTTTCAAAAGTGTTCTCCAAATACCAATTCTGGGTTTTAGTAAAAGTAAGTAAAGTAAAGGCCCTCCCGTTGATCGTCGATTTGCTCGAGCGGGCCCAGTAACGTCTCCATTGGAGACTTTGTTGTTACTGTGTCTGGCATATCGAATACTCTCGGTAGCTTGCCGGGCTCTCCGAGAGGGGCGGAGGAATCGAACTCGGGTCGGCCATGTTGGCCGCATGCAAGGCAGACGCCCTACCCGCTGTGCTATCACTCCAGCCCTAGTAGGTCATCTTATTTATTTATTTTTGCTTTTGGGGTCACACTCAGCGATGCTCAGGGGTTACTCCTGGCTTTTCACTCAGGAATTACTCCTGGCGGTGCTCGGGGGACCATATGGAATGCTGGGAATCGAACCCGAGTCGGCCGCATGCAAGGCAAATGCCCTATTCACTGTGCTATTGCTCCAGCCGCCTCTTATTTTTACTCTTCACACACACACACACACACACACACACACACACACACACACACACTTTCCCCTCCTCAGTGCTGCTGTGGTGTCATTTGCTTGGGTCTTTCTCAGCTGCCGATGGAGACCGGCCTCTTCTCTCCCCTCCCCCCCGACCCTCCCTGCTCAGCTGGTCTTCTCTCAGAATCGTTGGAGGCTATAAAATCCTTCTAAAAAGCAATCTAACTGATCCCACATTTTATTACACAGCATTTTTATTATCATTCAGTTATAAGGATTGAAAAAAAATTTTTTATGAATTCATCTCTAAGTTATGAGTTTCCAGAAGTTTCTTTTGTCCATTCTAGCCTTACACTGCAGGACTTGGGAGATCAATTTTGTTCTCCTCAATCCAGAAGGTCTTAAAACTGACTTGCATGGGGCCGAGACAGCTCAAAGAGCTGGAGGCCATGTACTGCACACAGGAGGTCAGAGCTCTGTCCCCGGCATTACCTGGTCCCCCAGATAGCAGTGACTCCTGAACATCAAGCCAGAAGGAGCCCCTGGGCACAGGAAAATGGTCCATGACCCCCCCAACGAGAAAAAAAACAAAACAAAACAAAACCGAACAACAACCGACATTCACCTCCCAGACCCCCTCAGAGAAGATTTATTCCTGTTTGCAGGAGATCGATGTACCAAGACACAAAATAATCATCCTCCACTCCTCTGGGTCTTCTAAGCTGACAAATAATCAAACCTGCGCCAGACAGATTGAGACGAGAAAACAAAATGGCAAAACCCCCAATGACGCCCAGCTGTACTCAATGCCCAGAGGAAGCGGGAGTAATCTATCTGGGCTGCTGGGATGCTACAGGCGTCAGGGTCCGTGCTTGCAGGCAGCTGGGGTCAATCCCCAGCAACACACGTGCCCCCTGCATCGGAGGGCATGACCTGGAGCCCCCAAGCAGCGGAGGGAAGGGAAGTGGGAGGGAGGGAGGAAGGGCGCCAGGGACAGAGAGAGGGAAGAGGAGGCAGGCAGGAATGAAGGGTGGCGCACAGATGGAAGGCTGGAGAGAGGGAAACGAGGGAGAGACAAAAGGCCGGAGTTGGGCAACTGTTCTGGGGCCTGAGCCGGCCCTCAGAGGACCGGAAGCTTTTGCGGGCTGGGGGCAAAGCCTGGCGGGAACCTTAGTCAGAGCCCAGAGCAATGGTGGGGTCTGCACCCGAGCCAAAGCACAGCCAATCACCAGGAGGTGCCCCCCGGCATGTGGAAACAGAAAGGGCTGGCCGTCGGGCACACTTTCTGGGACAGTGGCAGGGTTGGCGGGTGGACCAAGTAGCCCCCGGGGGAAGGCGGGGGTTGGCCTCTGAGTCTCCGCGAGGGAGCTCTGGCCAGCATGGAGAATCTGGGTTCAGGAGCCCAGAGAGCAGGCGAGCCTGTCCCTGTCCCTGGCAGGCTGGACGGAGTGCAAGCGCTGGGCCTGACTCTCCTGGAGGGCTGACTCGGCCCGCCCCCCGCTCAGAGCCCGGGTTCTGAGTCAGGAAGCCCAGAGGCGCCTGCCGACGCCCCTGTTCCTCCCGGACTCTGTGGGCGTCTTGGAACCGACCTGATGCTCTACTGCGGTCTTGGGGTTTTAGCCCATGCAGGGGCCCGTTCTGCATCCTGCCAGCTCGCGGTCACTTCTCAGGTGGAATGGTTTTAAATTCCACTTGTTAAACTGGATTTCTTTGGGAGCAGACGAGGGCGTCCGATTGCGGCGGGCCGGCTGCAGGCCCCGGTGAGCCCGTGTGGCCAGGGGCCAGGGGGGTTTGAAAACCTCAGGCGGAGGTCCTGGAGGCCTTTTTCAGTACTCACTCGCTGCAAACATCTTCCGCTTTGTAGATGCTTTCCCAAGTGCGAGAGAATTCTGCCTCTCTCAGTGCTGTGTGGGGGTGGGAGGGAGGTTTAAGTGGCGGCCTTTCGTTCCAGCCAGGAGGGAATTCATCAGTGAGGAAACAAGAGACTTTCCATCGAGCACTGGAACCATCCTCTGTCGGGGTGTAAGAATGATAGTACAGCAGGTGGGGTGCTTGCCTTGCATGCAGTTGACCCAGGTCCAGTCCTTGGCACCCGTATGGTCCCCCAAGCAATGCCAGGAGTGACCCTTAGCACAGAACCAGGAATAGGCCCCGAGCATTGCCAGGTGTGACCCCAGAACAAAACAAAAGTAGAGGGCCATAAAATCCACAAACGAAGGCTGAAGAGACAGTCCAGGGTCAAGGCACGCGCCTTAAACACAGCTGACTCAGGTTCGAACCCTGGCACCCCACACAGTCCCCCGAGCACGGCCAGCACGGACGCCTGAGCAAGAGCAGGAGGAAGCCCTGAGCTCTGGGATGCCCCCAGCCCTGAAACGCCGCCCGCCGCGAGCCCCGGCCCTGTGTCCTCTCCCCTGCCAGCCCCTCGCCCCCACCCCGGTTCGCTGTGCTCCCGCCGTGGCTCTGGGAGCCACTGACATTCTCTTGGCGTGACGACGAGGAGCGGTGGAACAGCTATTTTTAGGGAGTTCGCAAACCTTAATAATTGAGGCTCTTCTCGAGTGCTCCCTGAAATGTCAAACAATGATCTCATCCGCCCTGTGCCCCGCCAGCCCCCGCCCGACACCCCCCGTGATGAGTCACCAGCTCGTGCCCCAGCACGGACCCCCCCTCCGGAAGCTGGATCCGAAGCTATGATCGCCCAAACCACCTTCTGGCCTCCGCGCCTCACGCAGCCTCTGTCCCGCACACGGCCTCTCCCGCAACCCAGGGCAGCTCTACGGCAACTGACAGCCCAGAGGGCCCCTGCTGCTCCCTCTGCAGTGCTCCACTCCTCAGGACAACGGTGAGCACTAGGTGAGCCTGGACTGAGGCGTCAAACAAGCCTGTCCCGTCCTTTAACGGCCAACCGACTCAGAGCACACCCTGTAGCCTTTCACAGAAACTCCTCTGGGCACAGAAGGCCCCTTCTCTCTTCTCAAGTTTTGCACTCCTAGGCAAACCTCGATACCCACCCCAAATGTTCCTCTGTGGAGGAACCTTCCTTGACCTTGTCAGAGGGGGTTCCGCTTTGACCTAGCACTTTTTTTTTTACACCAACTTAAGGAAAATCTATTCTCGAGGCCAGAGAGATAGTAGGGAGGTTAATGTGCCTTTTGCTTGCCTTGTCCACTGCTGACTCTGGTTTGATCCCCAGCAACCTAAAAGCACTGCCAGGAGTGATCCCAGACCACAGTGCCAGGAGTAAGCCCTGAGCACCATTGGGCGTACGTGAAAAAATCTATTCTAACTCTTGTGTCTAATTCATTTCTCTCGGCTTGGCACACACCAACGTTGAGCAAATGTTTGCGAGCGTTTAAAGGTTTGCGTGTGGCAGCATTATGGCCGGCTGTTTTTAGCGGCTTTCTCGCTGTGGCTGCCTGGCTCCTAATTCATATGCCTGTAAAGCAAGTCGACAGAACAGAAACCCACCAACCCCCCCCCAAAAAAAAACCCCAAACAGGGAACAGTCAGGGGTGGGGGACTCCATGCAAAGCATGTGCCTGGGCCCTGGGGCGCTCTGCCTTCCTTAAGAAGTGATTATTTGGGGGGAGGGGTCCCCCTGTCATGGCTAAAGGGACCTTCATTTCCTGAGCGTGCCAAGCAGGCTTCATGCAGGCGCGCTAGATAAAACTCCCGTCTTCCTTTCAAAGCCTCAAATCAAAATTTGCTTGCGGCATCAACTCTGTCTTAAAAAAAAAAAAAGGCACGCAATGGCATCTGCCACGGGATTAATTAGGCTCTTTCCAGGCTCCCAAACAAAGGGCCACAAAGTTCTCCTGGCTTTTCCTCCTGCAGTTCAACGGCCATCACCTCTGTGGAGCACCTCGACTCCACACACACACACACACCCCAGCTCCCCATGCGCAGGGCTGATGCGGGCTCACGACGCCACACCCCTAGCTGGCAGAGGAGGCTGGGGTGGTGACAGACCACGGTCCCACGCCCAGCAACTGGGGGAAGGTGGGAGGACTGGGGCCACCTGTGGATGCCCCATCCTGCGGCCACCATGGGAGGAGGAGGGAATCCCAAGACCAGCAACAATCATTGGCAGCCCCCGCCCCGCTACAAAGCCAAAAGTGAACCAAAGTGGACTCACCCTCGAAGGAACCAGGCCGCAGACCCTGCACCGGCAGCGAGGTGCCTCCCCCATCCTGCCAGCACCTGAAGCCTCTCTCGGTTGCCCTTCGTTTGGGCCTGGTTCAGGAGTCACACCTGGCGAGTGCCAGGACGAACCAACCCCTGCACGTGAGCCTGAGCCCAGTCCTCTGCTGCTTTGTTTGGGCCTGGGTCAGGAGCCACGCCTGGTGGTGGTCGGGACACACCAGCCCCTGCCTGCGAGCCTGCGCCCAGCCCTTTGAGAGCCCTCAGCCCTCCAGTCTGCTGAAATCCAATTACCCTCCCTGCGGAGAGTGTCAGGGAGCCCCCTTCCTCTAATTAATCACCTCTCTGGCCTGCACGTGGCCTGTCAGGGACCCGGACGAGCCTGGTGTCTGCAGGCTTGCAGGGACGCGAGGCCCAAAGTGGCCACAGAGTCTCCTTGGCCGATGGCTCTCGGCACAGAATTGGGGGGGTGGGGACCCTCCCTCTCCCTCTCCATTTTCTCTCCCCAAACTTCACCCTAAGCCTGGGGAAGAAAGTGTCCACTCCTGCGGACAGCTGCATGGGGTCCACTGGCTTGTGGCCATGGCTTTGGCAGACGTGCCTATTCCTTCTTCTCTAAGGCCCAGCAAAGGATTTTCTGGGGTTCCCCAGAGATAACTCTGCAAGAAACCTAAACCCACCCGGGCTGGGTGCCCAGGGGATGGTCCTCAAGCAGCTAAGATGGAAGCCGGTGGCTTGGGGCCGGTGACAGTGTTTGCCTGGCATGTGAACGACCCGGGCTCGTCCCCAGTACCCCCACTGGACCCCTGAAGCCTTGCCAGGAGTAACCCCCGAGAACTGGTGGGTGTGACCTGCTCCCAGTCCACACCCCCCCCCCCCCCACGAGCCCTCAAATAAAAACAAAAGAAAGCCAGGGGCTGGAGGGAGAACGGCCAGATTCAGAGAGGGCGGCAGGGGGCTTCCAGGGAGGAAGGTGCCCGCCCCTTCTACCCTTCACACAGAGTGGGTGGTGGGAGCACTCCTCTACTGTGCTCCAAGAGCGCTGGCCAGGAAAGCCACAGACGATGCGGGATGATTGTTGCTGGTGTTGGGAATGTTGGGATTTCCTCCTCCTCCTCCGACCAAATCCAGCCCACTAGGCAGCCCTGTGGCATCCCATCCTCATGGCTCGCACTCTCTCTCTCTCTCCCTCTCTCTCTCCCTCCCTCCTTCTCCCTCTCTCCCTCTCTCTTCCTCTCTCCCTCCCTCCCTCATTCTCTCTCTCCCTCTCTCCCTCTCTCTTCCTCCCTCCCTTCTCCCTCTCTCTCCCTCTCTCTCTCCCTCCCTTCTCCCTCTCTCTGCCTCTCTCTCCCTCCCTCTCTCCCTCCCTCTCTTTCCCCCTCTCTTTCCCTCTCTCTCTCCCCCCTTTCTTTCCACCTCCCCTTCCTTTTTTTTTCTTTCCATTTTCTTTTTCTGTCCATGTCAGGCAGTGCTCAGGGCTGACTCCTGGCTCTGCACTCAGGGATCACTCCTGGTGGTGCTCAGGAACCGTATGTGATGCCAGGGATGGATGGAACCGGGTCGGCGACCTGCAAGGCCAGTACCCTCCCGGCTCTACCCCTGCTCGGGCCCGGCCCCTTTCCTTAGGGCCAGATTCCTCCCCTCGCCGCCCGTTTCCCTTCTGTCCCCTTCCCTATGGGCCCCCATAGCCTGCCCAAGGCCTGAGTCGGCTGCTTGGAGTGGGGGGGGGGGATCAACCAATAGAGAAGGAACGAAGAAAAAATTCATTCATTCATTCATTCATCAAGACAAAGAAAATGCACAAAACCTCAGCAGAAAAGATTCCTGTCCCTTTCGCGTAGCTGAGCTGGCCAGAGTCCCGGGCGGCCCCATGCCCGGTGCAGTCAGCGGCAAAGTGTCCACCCATCCCCTGCCCTGGCGCTGGGCAAGCAGGCGGCTGTGGGCTGGAACAGGAAAGGAAACAGCGGCAGGCTGACTGGATTCTCCGCTCGGTGAGGAAGCAAGAGCTGACCCCACCTGCCTGCCCGTGTGCCAGCGACTTGCTCCCCTGACCACGGGCAGCTCCTTTCCTGGGCACACACAGCCGCTCTGCCCTGGAGGGAGGGGGCCCCACCTGGGAGGGGGGCTCAGGGCACTCTGACGTGAGGAATGACACCCCGTCTGCCGCGTGCAGGGCCGGGGCCTCTTTCCCGGCCGCTCTAGGGGCTGCAGCCCCTGCTTTAAACACCCGCGTTCCAGGGAAGGGCCCGCGGAGGAGGCTGCCCCGGCAAGGCGTCAAGCCTTTGATGGATTCATTTTCACTTTTGTTGAATGAGCATTAAGCCAGCGCCGGCAGGGAGGGACGCAGTGACACGCTGTGGATGGAAAGTGCTGTTTCTCCTCCTCCCCTCCCTGGCCTTCCCCCAGGGACCTGGGCTTGTTTGGCTTCAAGCCCGAGAGTGGTTAGTCTGGGGTTGGGGTGTTTGCACAGAGCCCCCAGCTAAGGAGAGGTGCCACTTTGGAATCTGGTCTGGCATGTGCTGTGTGACCTCGGCAGCTGGCACGACCTCTCTGTGCTCCACTGCAGCATGGAGGGGAACATGAAGCTTCGTGTGGCGTGCAGTGGACTGGGTGGCACGCAAGGCCTGGCATCCGTGGAGTGCCCGCTGGCACCGGCATGACCTATCACTGACCTATCCTGCTCGCTTTGGGCACTTTAAAGAGATTCCCATGGGCTGGAGAGATAGGACTGTGGGGGAGGGCACTTACCTTGCACACAGCAGACCCGGGTTCAATCCCAGGCACCCCCTGGAGTCCCCCGAGCCCACCAGGAGTGACCCCTGAGTGCAGAGCCAGTGGCGGCCCAAGCAATGACTCCTTAATAAACTCCCCTCAACACCTGCTTGCTGCCCACGCGTCAGGAACTGTCGTCTGGTGCCCGGGTGACACGGGACGGCAGCCCATTCCCCATCAGGCCCCATTTCCGGTCTGTTTGCAAGGCAGGGGGCGGGGGGGGGGGGCGCAGACGGAGGACGAGTCCCAGTGCCCAGGTGCTCCCCGTTCTGAGGGCTCGTGAGTTTCCCCTGGCATGCCCCGGTCTGCAGAGAACCGAGTCAGGGCCAGGCGGCCCCGGTCACCGTCTCCCTCTGCAGTCGGACAGGACAGTTTCTCCTGGGAATCTACAGGGCCTGCCAGGCAGAGCAGCAGAGGTGCAGGGAGGTGCTCAGGTGAGGGGCAAGCCCGCCCCCTCCCTTCACGCCTGCTTTTCTGGGACACTCAGCAGCGTCCCCTGGTTTCTCTTTCCAAGGGTGCGAGCTGCCGAGGTTCCTAGGCCAGGCCATGCGCCCAGGCTAGTGGGGGCGGGTTCCAGGTAAAGCCTGGACCATGCACTCGAGTGGCAAATAGCCCCACCCCCACCCGCCACGCCACACCCGCCTTCTGCTCCTCGCTCCGGTGGTCAGGGGCTCCTGGACTCCCAGGCGGGGCTGAGGAAATGCACCCGCCCCGGTCAGCTCCCTCTCTGGGTTGTGTGTCCACCACGGTCCTCAGAGTCGCCAACATTTTCAGGAATGAAAATATTGGCTTATAAAGATGCTCAGGCTCAGAGTCGGAATTAGAAAAGTGGATTGAAAGGGCAGAAGAGAGAAACGCGCCAGCGGGGAGGAACATACACCAGAACCCAGAGAAGGGAGGCTCGTTTCGCGGGGTTTGGTGGGAACACGGGGTCTCTGTGTGACTATCCGAGTACAGAGGGTGCTCATATTTCCCAGAAGGGTCATTAATTCAGGCCTGTTTGTGTCTGCTAGAATAAGACGCGTGGCTTTCTTTCCCTCTTGGCTGGCGGAGACGCTTATGCCCTTCTCGGTTCTGTATCTTACTGTCTGCCAGGTACCGCCCCGTTATCACTAATCTCCTGGTCTGGGCAGAATTGATGGGCTTGGGGGAAATTATAAACTTCCTCAGTCTCAGGAAAATCCTGGGAATTTGCAGGAATGTTTCAACTACAGGCTGGAGACAGCTACAATGAAGCTGCCGGTAGCAGCGAGGAGGGGAAACTGAGGCATCCTGTTCCCGAGGCTCTGCATCCTGGGCTGGTTCTGGGGACCCCCCAGGAGTTCACCATGTCCTCCAGCTGGCACGGAGGGAGAGAGCGGGTGCTTCACGGACAGGCTCCACCCTGCCAGGGCACAGATGTGCCACGTGGAGCGGACGCCTTCAGTAACCAGGCTGGGCAGGACGTCTCGGGCACAGATGGGAGAGCAGATGGACAGGAGTGGAGGGGCGAGTCAGGACCCGGGTTCAGGGTCCTGGCCACAGGCCGTGTCTTGTCACTTGCCAGCCGTGACCTCTAGATGCTAACTGCCTCTCCGGGCCTCATGTGTCTCCTGCCACGTTTGGGGGTGGACGTGACATGCCTGGCAGTTGGGGCCGCGCTGGGGAGCCTGTGTGCAAATCCCATTCTCACATTTCTACGTGGGGACCCCGGGCCAGTCATTCATTATCAGTTTGTCTTTTTTTTTTAAATCTGAAAATAAGCCATTGTCCTGAGGTTTAATGATGATTAAAATAATCTCTCAGTGGGTGGTGGTTATTAACAAGTCAGACAGGCAGGATGTGGGTGTTGCAGAGACCCCCCTTGGGAATTCACTGGATAATTGGACTTGGGGTCCAAGTGCCTTGGGGGGAGCAGATGGCGCTGTTCAGAGCTCCAAGACTGGTGTGGTATCTTGGGGTGCTAGAGGGTTGGTGGGGTTCTTAACAGCCTGCAGCCGAGGAGACCCACAGCCCTGACTGAGATCTGCAACCCCCCACCCCCATTCCATAGCAAGGCAGTGACCAGAAACTTCTGGAACCATCTTTGCCCGGGTGAGGCCGGGAGCGCTCCAGGTGCTGGGGGGTGGCTGGTTCTGACCCACCAAGGGTCTGTCAAGTGTTGGTTATGGCTTGAGAGACTGAGGGGGGCTACTGGTGCCATAGG